GGCATGTGTTGCATGTGTAAATAGACATGCATGAGTTTTCATCTGTTTTTACCGTTCACAGACGTGCGACACGAGCTACAGTCACATCCGCAGCATGCTGGACTTTGCCATCGCTCTGATGGGGAGACTGGAGAACATCAACATGCACTCGTTCAACAGCTTCAAACTGAGGATCGGTACAACACAGACACTTATTATATCACTTATTATATACTGTACACACACATATATATACTGTATATATATATATATACTATTGGTCAAAAGTTCTGCTCACCAAGGCTGCATTTATCTGATAAAAATACATTAAAAATAGTGAAATATTATTTTAATTTCAAACAGCTGCTTTGTATGTGAATATCTGCTAAACTGTAATTTATTGCTACACGTAGCACTTGGGTAAGACGAACAATTCAGGACAAGGGAAATTCAGAAACACAGGGTTTATATAATCGGAACGAAACAAGGAAATCAATGGGACACAGCTGGGATCAAATAAACACAATCAAGGCAGGAAGAAGAAGACCAAATAAGGACATGGAGACGCATGGGGAGCAGAACACACACAAAACACGGAACAGAGTCTGACAGCAACATTTCCCATTTTCAGTTAATTTATGTTAAAGTATTAAAATAGCTAAAAGTAAATAAATGAAAACAAGTATTAAATATACATATTTAAAAATAATAATAATAAAAATGACAAAAACACAACAAGATAACAAAAATGTAACTGAAATTAAAATGAAAACAGAAAAAATAAAATGTAATTCAAAATATTAAAATAAAAATATATATAATCTAATTTGAATATTAACAAAAACTAGTATATCAATCATACTGAATTACCACTGGACATCAGAGCCGAGATAAATTACTGTCTGGTATCCCTTTAGGTCTTTGAGTCTTAACAACCTGTTAATAAAACAAATAGATTCAAAGGAAAAATACTGGATGCCAAAATACATGAAACTGAAATAAACTAAACTAAAACAGAAAATTTATAAAAACACAA